TTTTCCCTATTTAAGGTCAGGAAGGAAGGGAAGAATGATTTTTCTTTGCTGTTTTAAGGAATTGAGAAGACAATAGATTAATCAGAAATTGGATTTATAGAGCACCTTAGGAATTGAGAAGACAGTAGATTAATCAGAAATTGGATTTATAGAGCACCTTTCATCCCAGGTGCTTAAGGGGTGTTCACCAATCTCACTGATCTTGGAAACCCTGTAATGTAATGAGGTACTCCTATCTTTGTGGCTACCGTTGCATCTTGGGCTAAGTGATGTCATTTCTTTTGTGCCTGGCTTGTCCGGGTGGTGATTTCAGTGGGTCGGAGCCAAGCAGCACGAACTGCAGGTGAACTCCATGCAGCTGCTCTACTACCAGGCCCCAATGTCGTCCGCCATGCTGCTGGTCGCCCTGCCCTTCTTTGAGCCGATGTTTGGAGAAGGGGGAATCTTTGGTCCCTGGTCAGTTTCTGCTTTGGTAAGTTCTAATTGTTTTGGTGTCTAAAAAACAGTGTAATAATAATTCTTCTACTGTTACTGCAGTGTTTAGCTCAGATCTGTTCTCACATTTAATCTTCATAATCACTCTATAAGGAAGGCAAGGTGAAGATTATCTTGGTGGCTGCCGATGGGTGAAGAAACTGAGGCACAGAAAGGTGAAGGGGCTGTACAGAGTCAGGCAGCTGGTAGCAAGACCAAAATGAACAATTCACCTCTTCTGATTCCCGGTTACCATTCTGACCATGCCAGGCTATAGCCTGCAAATAATTTGGACTTATTATTTTAATTTTTTTTTTTTTTTTGAAGCAGAGTCTCACTATGTCATCCTCAGTAGAGTGCTGTGGCATCACAACTCACAGCGACCTCAAACTCTTGGGCATAAGCAATTCTCTTGCCGCAGCCTCCCAAGTAGATGGACTATAGGTACTGGCCATATACTTGGACTTTTTTGTTGTTGCAGTTGTTTAGCTGGCCTGGGCCAGGTTCGAACCCGTCACCTTTGGTGTATGTGGCTGGCACCGTAACCACTGTGCTACAGGCGCCGAGCCTATTTTAATTTTTTAACAATGAAAATATATGGCTCAGCACCTGTAGCACAGTGGTTACAGTACCGGCCACATAGACCGAAGCTGGCAGATTCGCAACCATCTCGGGCCAACTAAACAACAGTGACAACTGCAACCAAAAAATAGCCAGGCATTGTGACGGGCAGCTTAGTCCCAGCTACTTGGGAGGGTGAGACAAGAGAATCCCTTAAGCCAAAGAGTTTGAGGTTGCTGTGAGCTGTGACGCCACCTTACTCTACCAAGGGTGACATAGTGAAACTGTGTCTCAAAAAAAAGAACAAAACAATTAAAAAACAAATTATAGTTCTTTTGTTTTTTTTTTTTAAATATAAATAGTACATGTTTATTATCTAGATTTTGAACGTAAATAAAAATAGAAAATGCAGAGCCCCTGAAATCCTAACACACTAAGAAAATCATCTTTGTGGTTTTGGTGATGATCATTTTATAGATCTCTTTTATATAAACACATAGACACAAATGCATCTTTCCATAATTACATAGAATTGATGTAATTATGATAGAATTACATCATCTACGCTGATTTTATCAAGGGCTTCTTGTCCACAGTCTCCTAGCTGTGTCCACCTCCCATCGCCCGTCTGTGCCGTCCACACGAGTCAGGTTCACGTGCAGCCTCCTGGCTGTGTCCACCTCCCATCGCCCGTCTGTGCCGTCCACACAAGTCATGTTCACGTGCAGCCTCCTGGCTGTGTCCACTTCCCATCAGCCGGTCTGTGCCCTCTATGCAAGTCATGCTAATGTGTATGTTTTCCCTGTTCTTGTCTGTGCTGTGTGTGCCCATATAAACATGGACATACTCACACATACACACATGAATTAAATATTTGTTTCTTTGACAAAAGTAGAATTATTGCATGTGCTTTTCTTTTTTTTTTTTTTTTTGAGACAGA